TGACTGCTTTTGAACATTTAGATTAACGGGGTCGAACCTGTTAGTGCAAAAATTTGGTTTATACAACCACAGTCCTAAAATCTACATAGTATTTACTGTCTATATTCAGACATCAGACTTATGAGAAAGTACGTTGGAAACATTAACGATCAAACTGATTTATCTCTCGTATCAAAAAGGGTTTTTGTCCTTTGCTATAAATTTGGAAAACCAAGGATCAAGAAACGCCATCCAGAATTACATCTTGTTCACATTGATAATACTGGCTCGCCATCTTGCAAAAATGCTTGAAGTTATCCTATAACGACTTGGTGTCTTACTTTGTACCATTACTCATTATTATTAGGAGCTGCTAACAAAACCTTAGCATTAAGAAATTTTCACGGGGATCGGTAAAATGAAAGTCAGTGTGGAAATATCACTATTAGTGAAATTAAAACAAGTGCAACAGGATTTTTAAAAAATAAATGTGGGGAAAACGGCTAACGAGAAGCACAACGCTACAAATTCAGAGGAAGGTAAAATAAAAAGATATATCTTCTCTATAGCCACTAGCTTATTTCACGTTATTTAAACTCAGTCAATCTCCAGAAAAAAAATAAAAACAAGCCAGAAATAACTGACTAGATCATTAACCTTCATCACAACTAACAAGAGAACCATATCTGATAACATACATAAGTGGTGAGCTGATAGTGATTTATTACAAGACAACTATATCACTACTGCTTTTTGTTATTTGATAGCCGTTTCAAATTTACAATTACAGCTTATGACTTAAAGTCCACTCAGTTACACTTCAGTCAAATTGAATTAAATGTTATTGCATTAGTTAAGTAGCCAAGGCTAAACACAGTACAATAAATAATTAAAGTATAAACGGGAAATGTTTATAAGAATAGTGGTGAAGCTTTACATTATTTGGAAGCATACTTTTTTTTAACCAAGCCTAATTTCAACTGTCTAAGTTCATTATAGACATACCTAAGTCACCTAGGCAAACAAAAAACGGAGAAACAAAGGTAAGCCTTAAGGAAATCCTTAAGGGAGGTCATCGTGAATACAGGTGACAATTGATCAATTTGTCGAAATTCATCCTGAAATTTCCCCCACATAAGGGAATGTGATGAAAGTGATTTTAATCTTACTCGTGGCGACTACTTGCCCCAAAATTAATGTCAAATCGCCTATATCTTTTTAAGAATTGACATATAAAACGGTCAACTTTATAAAGTAGGTCACATAAAATTCTGCATGTAAAACGATTCATGCTTTGCAATTTGGATAATACTAGGCCTGTCTCGTGAGTATCATAAAGGTTGTTGAACATATAAGCACATATGTAAGTGCATGGAAATGGAAAGTTTGAGGTACTTACCACCATAAATACTCAAATAGCCCCAGTTGCTTGAATCACGCGTCACAGATTCAAGTCACGCTCCAAAGTGTCCAATGCCGTCAGGTAGTTTTTAACAAATTTGTAAACAAAGTCAAATATGCTGAACATGTCGTCATCAAGCCTTTAAAAAGCTAGTAAAACATTATCAGACCAAAAAGCAAACTTAAAAGATCAAGAGTATGGAGTAATGATAGACATTTTAGGAATGTCGTACTCAGCCATAAGGATTTGTTTATACGCTTTAACTAAGTTGATTTTTTAGAAGACGGTCGTACCTTCCAAGGAAGCTGCGAGGTCGCGAATTCACGGTAACGAGTAGCAGTCCGGAATGGTTCGTGTACTAAGTCTTCGATAATCGTCAGTTGAACGCCAATCACTAGTATTCTTTTTAGGAAACACATACACATGAAATCGAATCCGCTCCTATTCACTTTCGGCTTTTAAGGAGCTAGTCAGAGAGCTATCGAGAATATAGATGGTCCTGTAGTCTTGATGTAACACTGAAAGTCACACTTGGTGAATTCGGTTGTGGTTTACGCAGTTTGAAATACTTATTGAGTGCTAATAGGCTAATCATTCGCATGATGGGCCACTTTGTGGAGTTTAAGATAGTCTGCAGTCATGCTCGAGGTAAATCAAATGACTGAAAGTAGCAGAGAAAGTGTAATTTCGTTTTCGGTCGACCGAAACTTTTATTTGATGGAGCAAGCCTCAATGATGAGGGATCTAGCTATATTCAAAATCTGGTCAGCAGATGCACCTGGTTCATCTACAACATGTTTTGGAATGGAACCTCTTGCCCTGCTGGGTAAGTTTAGATAGAAAGAGTTGTCAAATGAAGCCCTCGCCGAATGTTCGATAACTGGTCACTTCTCGCCTATTTATTTTTATTTATGTTGCCGAGCTGTCTCCCAGTCCGATGTTGTGGATGGGTTGATCTAACGTTTGTTGATCGACTAAGCTATGGTTAGGTTTAGAAACACTAGTACTAAACCCAAAAGGTGTGACGTATCTGTTGAATTTGTGCGGTAGAACCTCCACTATTGCAAGGAACTTCATATATGAGTCGGTCACGCCATGCTCGTGGAAGTCAGAACCAGGCTTCGGTAATGTCAGACCAGGATAGCACAAGTTGTGAAGTGAAGGGGTAAAGGTCATAATCTTTCACAGTTAAGATCTGAGTCCCGAAATGATAAGAATAAAATATATGTATACATATGTTAAATGTTATGACCGAGAACAGACCCACAGCGTATAGCTTGGTGTATCAGATAATTTCGTGACTCATCACCAAAAATGTCACCAATATAGAGGACTCGACGACGCTCTCATCCGAAACACCTTTTTAAGGAGGACGCCAAATCCAGTTGCACTAGTGGGCAGGACTGAAGGGGGTCGAGGGTATATTTGGAAGATGGTCGGTTTGTTCAGATGTATGTAATACATGCTAAATGACTGTTGTAATGAACGAGCAGGATGGAGTAACAAAACGTGATCTGATACGGATGTTAAACGAATGCGTGTGAGAAGTGTGGCCAGTAAAACTAATGAGGTCAGCAACAGTATCAAATAATAACAAAATCATTTATTTTGGAGATTTATTTGCTGCTATAAATCTTCAGTCTATGAATTTTATTATTTCTCGAAGCTGGTTTCCCCAAGGTGTTCTCAAGTGACCTGGTATTAATTGTGCTCATACAAAGTTTCGGTTGTTGCTCACTCATTGAGAATATTATTATCTTAACACGGACCGATTTGTTTGTAGACTGTGAAGTGTTTTGTAATGGCTATACAGACTATTCGACCTAGAGGAATGAAAGTGTAGGACATGCCAGGACCAGAGTAGCTTCTCGATATAAGATGTGCCGATATGTGGTAGCCTCTTTTTATAAGATGGGAGATATATATCTGAGCGTTTAAGTTGCAGGACATGTAAGAAGTTGGGACGTCCTGTCGACAACCTGACACTTGCCCTTTAGATTTATTTATACACGTATGATCCAGATTGTATACAGTATTCGGGATGCAAGATCCTTTTGTGTTCGCATGAACTTATGTATACATGGAAACCACTCCAAGTATACATTCCCTGTGGAGGTATTCATCCATTTCTTTCACATGTAGTGCAACTTCTAATAAACCTAGTACTCACGCATATTATGCTCATCATTTTGTTTGCAATTACTATACTACAAAGTCTACAAGTTTTAAATTGTTATGAAATCTGTGATTTCTCTCATGACTTTGTTTTGACTAACGTTATATTTGAGCTGCTGCTATATCGGGTAAGTATTCCTAATTGATTCACATGAGTGGATCGATACCTGGACGATAAAAACTTTTGATGTTATGAACAAGGAAATAAATATATGATCCTTGCATTCTTATGTTTAGCTGCTCTCATCTGGAACCCTGTTAACAGTCATATCTTTCAGACAAAACATTGTCCTCTGATCACAAGGAATGCTATTCGTTTGGAAACTGATTTTAGAAGGTGCCGTTGTTTCTCGTCAATACACGTTAGAGGAATTATTGTCCAGGGATTTATTTTGATATATATATTTACTAGTAATATATACGCTGTTTATACATTTCAGTTCCGTGGAACCCTATGATCTGTTTGAGTGGAGGTACGTAACTAAACCATCTCGTAGGTACAGACTCACTAGAATTCTTAAGAACCAACATACAACACTGGATGGATTCGAAAGATATGATAAGAACAACCAGTCATTTTGTTATATTATGCCGACTCGGGTAAAAAGCCAACGTTTCAAGCATATTCCTAGTGTTTCGTGTATGTGAAAACCTATGTAGCTGAGAGATGGATGGGTTAGAATACTATTGCAAGTAAATTATCAATCTGACCATGATCATACCTGCATACCGCTGATTGGGTAAGAGACAACATGCACAATCAATAGGCTAACGCTTCGATTTATGTTCAATACAACTCTTTACTTATTCTTAGTCTTCTATACCTGCGGAGTCGAGCGAGTCAGGCGCTGAAAAGCAATTGACTGGATTTAACTAAACCACAACAAATACTCCGTAAAGCAGTAAGTTATCATTTCAACAACTTGGTTATGCTACCTAAAAGATAAAAAGGGTTTAGACGGATTATAGTATAGAAGACTTCAGGCACACCAATAAGAAGTATAGCCCCATTGCTAACTGATTCCGACCACTTAACATTGAAACAATCAAAAGGGAGAACACCATGCATAGAAATAACGTGATTGAAAAAAGAACCAAGAGTAGTCCCGGTTAACTGTAATTACAACAAAACATTTTGCATAACCAAAAGAAATATCCAATACTTATAATGAAATCGAAACACAAAATACAAAAACGAAATATAATTGAATACTTATCGTTAAAATAAGATATAAATTAAACTGTTATAACTCCATGAGGAAGTTCAGCTGTTGTTGTATAAAAATATTTAACTGAATAGTTGATTAACTGAATTTATAAAGAACATATGAATCAAGTGTGACGAATCATGTAGGACACATAGAAACAAAGTAAAAAGTTTAATTGAAAATTATTTATGATAAAATATGAGAAATGAAACAAATTATGAAGTTTATACTTATAATCAAGTAATAACTGGCTCCAATGATGTACGGCTTACAGTTCCATCATCAATTTTGCTTACAAGATTTTTCGATCGTCTATTTACACCAGATTCATTTAATAATCCTGTACCAAAACGATGATCCCATATAAGTAGACCAAATGTAGCAGTGATAGCGATACTTAGACAGAAGACGAAAAACACTTCAAGGAACAAATAGCCCTACAATATGCAATAGAGAAAAACACAAATGTTAGTAGGAATTTTTGAATAAAGAGCATAGACAATAATATTTATTCATTGTTACAACAACGGACTCTTTCATTTGACTAACAAACACAACTTAATAGTTTTTCGCAAAGATGGATAGTGGCTAGCAGTGGAATCCAGGACGCGCGTTTCGTAATATTTCGGGACTCGTCAGCTGGATGTACTTGCATCTCAGGGTTGATGTTCACTCTGAGACTCGAACTCAGTATCGTTAGCTTCAAACGCCATAGCGTTATCTACTTAGCTACTGAGTCTTGACAGCCACTTGTTAGTTATAGCTTTCTTCCTCTAGTACACTGTATTGGACATTTTATTACTAGAATTTAGATACAAGTGTGTCCTTTTTTAATATTAACTGTAAAATTTCAGTTAGGTACACATTGCCTGCATAATAAACACGTGAATTATACTGTGAACTTTACCAGTTATGGACACACCTATACAAGTGATCAATCAAAATTTATATAAGACACATACTGCTTAACTAGGCTTGCTGATCTGTTTTTATTCACCTTATAAATGATAAGATTTGTAATTTTTGCAATGTGATCCAAAAAAAATGCGTGAAATGCAGCTGTGGAAACTTTATTTCACATCAATCACTAGGTCAAATAAGCTTGCATTTGGAAGTTGTTTTTGTTCCCAAAATATAAAACTATCCCATGAATATATAACACACAGTGTTGATGTGGAGACGATAAAACGTTAGATAATGACCAAGACTAAGATATTTCGAATATCGGGAACAAACCATAAAATGAAGAATATTTTTAAAGCCCATAAAGATTGATGTATTCTAGATTTTGTAAAATTACGTTTTTTTTTCTACAAAAATCGCAGTCAGGGTTAGGTTATTGATATTGCCAAGAGACTATACGAAGACGCCAAATGCCCTGGTACGGCCGACATTGAGGAGAATCAGCTCTCCCTCTTCAACTGATCTCACATGATCACGTGCATACAACCACTGACAAGGAAATCCAACTCACTCCCTTCTCGTCACGTGGGTGTTGTTTACAAAATTGAGTATACAAAAAGAGAATGTCCGGAGCTTTATTCGGGTTGGTGGATACGGAGAATTCACCTAGAGGAGTTGGAAAACCCTCATTAGAAACCAATCGTGCACATAGGCTCTAGTATCCTGAGGGAACAAATGGTGTATGAACCTATTGTTGGTTACCGGTTAACATGGGACTTCATCTCCTTACGATGCTCCACTGCCTTGTGGATCAGACCTTCAGGTCGAAGGTTCGAGGAGTAACCCCCTAAGAAAACCACCTGCTTCGGTTTGGGCACCCGGGCAGTATCACAGCCTTCACATATATTGAATGAGATTTATGTGGCGCATATGTATTTGGTGCCTGTTTGTACCAATATCTATGTGTTAAAATAAATAAATAAATAATAAATCGGATACATAAATCAATCAATCAATGAAAATAAACCACTTGAGTTCTGAAATAAATAAATAAATAAATAAAATTATCAGTTCATTATTGATAATGTAAATTATGATAAAACATTTTAACAAATTGATCATAATCATGATAAAAATCTTATGAACTTTGAATGTTTTCAAAACAAAATGAACCGATGTAAACATGAATAGAATGATCATTGGAATAGGTGAAGTACAAAATACAAATCAATTTTTAATGATTAGTTTAGTTGTATATGAAATATTTCTCTCTCTCTCTCCCTCTCAAAAAAAGAAAGAAAACACGTAATGAACTGATTCACTAGGGATAGGGTGGATCTCTTGAATGTATGAACTTTAAAAGCATACAGGACAACAATCGCAGTTTCATGACGATAGAATTGTTCTCGGGTATTTAAATAGTTGTGATCTGGTATTGTATGATAGGTAAGAGTGAAAAAGTATGATTATTGTTCCATGTTTTCTTCAGAACTAGCAGTCAGGATTGGCTAAAGTATTGGAAGTTCTCAAAAATTGTGTGATGTCCCGATAAGCATAATGAATGGTAACTTTGGAATTCATTTATAGACCAATACTATGAGTGTATTTTTAGCATATAATTGTTGTGTAACTAAATTATATATATTCGTGTCCCTCTTATTATGAGCTTTATTTTGACCTATGAACTATTATTATACGATTTACCATTCTTGAATTATGCCCTATCTCTTAAGTACTACATCCCTCATTCACAGCCACATTTCGCTAAATCTTGTACAAATGTTAATTTTCATTTTATGGTACGATGTGGTCTGTCTGGTTGGTATATAAATCGAGTATGCTTGAAATACATGATTCATATCGCAGAGGCTGAGGTGGGAGGCAGAACCAATAAAGACTCTAGACTGCTCGTACGGGTTTATTTGTCATTGGCCCGATCGATAATTCACTCTTCTGTAATTGGAGGTATCATTACATTACCCATTAACAGGGGCACCAAGGTCACAAGTTATAACAAATTCAGATAGGAGGTTCTCAAAAGATGGAGAAAGGATGAAAACATTTCGTCCAGCCAACATTCAATAGAAACTTCCCATAGAGATATAAAGAAACAATGGATTTTCATTTTCGTATTAGATAATTACCAACTTTAAAAAATAATTTTAGCAAGTTTCCAACATCTCCTAGAATATTAACATTATATATAAACCTACAAATATCGATGTTCTCAGTGCATAAACTAACCATGAAAGAAAATTATTCTTTAAACTTCTCACCTTTTGTTCGTTCCTTAATTGTAGGAAATTTATAGGGAATAGATTACAAAGTCAGGGTTACGCGTTCAGGAACAAATCATATCAAACCACTTCCCTATAAGCCATACGTGAAGAAAATACATCATTCCGAGTGATTCAAACCTCAGTCAATCAGCTACAACGTAGGACCAGACACATATATGTATCGGTTCAGGTTGCCATACCGCATTAGCACAGCAACATGAACACCGGATTCATAGGAGTGGTTAAGTCAATGGTGGTAATATATAAAAGAAAGATTGTAGTAAGGATATGGTACAGAAAGAAAGAATTAGTTCGTAGAAAGAAAGATATGAAGCGATTTTAATCTCATAGTTTAGAAGAAGACAGAGACTGTATACACCGACGCCATTGTGATCAATCCTGAGCCATGTCACCAAGAGTCTCCAACCATTGGTTACGATAGTCACGCGGACCCCAACCAAATAGTATGCATCTACCAACATGGCTCAGACTAGAAGTTAGTGACTTCAACCACTGATGCCACGTTTTGGTTTGGCCGCCTCTAACTTTCTTCCAACCATCTCCAACACTGGTTAGCATTGCACGTCATGGTAATCGGTGTTCAGGCATACATAACACGTGGCTCAACCATTTCAGTCGATGAAGATTCACAACCTCATCGACTGATTTATCATCATTCCCTAATACCCTGCGTCTAACCTCACTACTACTTACCCGGTGATCCCAGCAGATGCCAGCAATATTTCTAAGGCATCTGTAGTCAAATACTAGTAGCTTACGAGTATCCTCTACTCTTAATAGCCACATTTCGCAGCCGTGAAGTAAAACAGAACGAACTGTCGCGCAGTATACTCATCATTTTATCGATAGACGGATATCTCGCTTTCGCCATAGGTGACGTAAGTTGGTGAAAGCCAAACGAGCTTTTCGAATCCGTGCTGAGATTTCGTCAGACACTAACCCATTAGGGCTGGTCAGACTTCCAAGATAAGTGAAGTTGTCAACTTCACTCCCTATCCTTAGTTCAGGTGTTGACGCAGACCAGTCCTGAAGCAACAACTTGCATTTAGAGGGAGAGAAGCTCATTCCAAACATTCTGGCACTGTTGCCTAGTGCTATCAAAAGACTCTTCATTTTATCAGCGTCTTCACCAAACAGGACTATGTCATCTGCGTATTCTAAGTCGATAGGTGGACCTCCTGGAAGGAGATCAATGCCCGAAAATTCAGTCTACGAGGGCGTTATTTCCATTAGTAGGTCCATGATGAAGTTGAACAAAAATGGAGAAAGTGGACAGCTCTGACGGATACCATTTGGAGTTGCAAAAACAGATGACAGTTCGCCATAAGCTCTGACTCGACTAGTAGTGTTCGAGTAAAGAGCCTTTACAAGGTTTATGTACTTATGAGGTACGCATGGGATTAATTGATTATCATATGAATCTTTTAATAATTAAGCCACCATTCTACAATTGAAAGTGTTAACCAACATTCTAGGTAATTCATAATAATAATAGTAAGAAAGCATAAACTCACCTTTGTATCAACTAAATATCCAGCAAAGATGGAAATTAATCCAAGTCCTAAATTTTGAATTGACGAAATTAAACCATAAGCTGTGGCTCTTTGATGCAATGGCAATACAAACGCAACTATTGGCCATAAACTACTAGCCAGAACAGAATAAGACAAACCCATCACAATCATGATAGCTAGTGGAGGAATTTGACCACTAGTAAAAGCAAAGCATAAATGACAGCCCAATGTAATTAATATTCCACTGAATAACCAATATAAATTATATCCGATAATATCAATTGCTGCTCCAAATACAGGACTTGCCACAGCGGATATAATGTAGATAAGACTGTTAACAACACTAGCATCTTGAACAGATAAACCAAATTTCCCTATATGTTTGTAAATACAAAAACATAGGGATTTAGAGACAGAGAGAGAGAGAGAAACAAAAGAAAGCCGAGAAGAGGTTAGTTACTGAGTTGTGATTTTTGATGAAGAAAAACAATCAGTATTGAAGTAGTTATTTCATATTATGAATAAGATTTCTGATGTAACTGAATAACAAAATAAATAAGTATTAATTTCGCCTAATTTAATTGCGTTGAAAATAAGGCTATCTCATAAACAATACACAAAGAATAGTAATTGCTCCTACACACTCTACCAGTCAGTCAATAATGCATGGCCTCCAAATGCCCTGGTACGGCTGAGAGTGAGGAGACTCAGCACTCCCTTCTCGTGACGTGGGTGTTGTTTACAAAATTGAGAAGACAAAAAGAGAATGTCCGGAGCTTTATTCGGGTTGGTGGATACGGAGAATTCACCTAGAGGAGTTGGAAAACCCTCATTCTAAACCAATCGTGCACATGAGCTCCAGTATCTTGAGGGAACAAATGGTGTACGAACCTAGTGTTGATCACCGGCTATCGTGGGACTGCATCTCCTTATACTGCTACACTACCTTGAGGATCAGACCTTTGGGTTAAAGGCTTCGGGTATGTCCCCTAAGAAAACCACCTGTTTCAGCTTGGGCACCCGGGCAGTATCCAAGTCCTCACATAAATCGAGTGATTTATGTGGCGTGTATCTATTTGGTGCCTGTTTGTACCAATGCCTATATGCTTAAATAATAAATAATAATAATGCATAAGTATTAAAGGGTCTGGTATAATTATGTATCTGTCTAAAATGGTACGACATATTAGCATAACAAAAGAGGAAATCAGTAAGAAAAGTCGAATCATTGTAAATAAATAAATGTAATAGTAATCTCTAGGATATGGAGAGAAAGAGAGAAACAATGAAGAGAACAGTTCTAAAGTTACACATCACTATACATAATTAAATACAATAACAGAATATGAGAAATTTAAGTATAGAGAAATATAAAATGATACAGTAAAATAGAATGAGAGCATTAATTTCATGCAGGTTGATTTTGAGTGATGTGTAACGAATCTGTCTATTTACATATACGATTAGAAGCAACAGTTAGAAACTTTATTTTATGCATTTTTAGACTACTCCTAAGTTTCACATTGACAATGATTGAAACATCAGCAGCTGACTTACTCCCTTTGACTAATACACACTTAACATCACCTCTGATTGCTATTAGTGGGGAAAGAAAAGAAAACTACAAGTAATCAGTTAGTACAAAGCCCCTAAATGCCCTGGTACGGCCGAGAGTGAAGAGAGTCCGCTCTCCCTCTCGAAATGCTCTCACACGGCCACGCGTATATAGCCTCTGCCAGGGAAGTCCTACTCACTGCCTTCTCGTGGCGGGGGTGTTGTTTACGAAAATCAGAGGACGAAAAGCGAATGTCCGGCGCTTTAACCGGATTTCAAACCAATGGTGCACATGGGCTCCAGTATCCTGCGGGAAAAAATGGTGTATGAACCTATTGTTGGTCACCGGCTATCGTGGGACTGCATCTCCCTTACACTGCTACACTACCTTGAGGATCAGACCTTTAAGTCGAAGGCTTCGGGTGTGGCTCCATAAGAAAACCACCTGTTTCAGTTTGGGCACCCGAGCAGTATCCCAGCCCTCATACATATCAAATGAGATCTGTGTGGCGCATATGTATTTGGTGCCTGTTTGTACCAATGCCTATATGTTGAAATAAATAAATTAGATGAATGACACTTCAGTAAGTCATAACCAGCATAGAGCATGACACAGATATGCATCATCCAAGTTTCCGATAACAATGAGAAACGTTAAACAAAACGAATACTGTTCAAAAAGAGGTGAATATGAAGAATAAAATGTATGAAATCATACTGAGGGCACATGACTTAAGAGAAAATGTAATGAATTCATATGTGCCATTGTGACCAATTCTGACCATATCACACAACCTTTCAAACCACTGACAGTGGTTATTTAATGAGGATCTGCTTAACATAGTCCATCTGAATAAATATCCACAAATGGAATCATATGAGACTTTCATATCAACTGTTTACAAAGTGTAATTAAGATTAATTAGGATTTTAAAACCAAGTATACTAAGAATTTAGTTTATGCCTAGAGAAATCCATAAATACAAGAAATGTTAGTTGTAATATGCAATGAACAGGTGATTTCAATAAGTTTATGCTTTATACCATTCATTTTATGGACATAGTGATGAAAACGAGGCGATAGATTATTTTATCAACTTATATTTGAAAGATACATATCACTAACTATGAGACGTAGGATCTACGACATTAAAATATCAGAAACTAAAGTGATATACTACCGGATAATAATAGAAGTACATAAATGAGTAAGTTTTAATTTAAAAATAACTTACTTTCAAAAAATACTAGTCCTAAACTAACAAATGGAAATACTGTTACGTAATATGTCACACAAATAATACAAATAAGCCAAATAGCGCCTGGAAAATGAATAACATCCATAAAAGAAATCTTTTTGTTTTGATCTTCTGTTTTCGTCGTGAGTAATTGTTCTTCTTCATGATTAGATATTTCTAGTGTATTGGATTCAACAGGCTGGGTACTCAGTGAATGCGGTTTTACACAAGATGACAGAATACGTTTAGCTCTAAAAAGGTTTTGAAAAAAACAAACAAACAATGAGTGAACTGATAAACAGTATGTCCTGACAGTAGTGTAAAACTTTTTAAATTCAATGTAAAAGACAATGCGTTTTAAGAACCTCATGCAGTCATGTGCAACTTAAAACCTGATGAACGTATGTGTAACCGTCTAAGTTGTCATGTCACATTAGTATTATTTCAAGATAAAACCCAAAATAGTAACAGAAGTACAAATAGCATCAGTTCTAGGAAAGATTAGGTATAAAAAAAGTAAAAGGTATAAGTGGGTTTCGAGACTCAAATTCCAAAGGAAGTTTACGAGTGAATGCACCTAAACCATTGTAAGCGATTTTGAGCCATGTTAACCAGTCTCTAAACGTTGATTACGATGATCACAAGGACCCAAACCAGCTAGTCTACACCTACTAACATTAGTTGAATCCGGTTGTCAGTTAGTTCATGAACTGGTGTTACGTCCTGGTTTGGCTGTCTTTAGCTTTCTTCTAATCTACTCCTATACCAGACATCGGCCGTCGAAATAAGCGGTGGTTGAAGGCATGTAACAAGTGTGCCAGCCAACTCGATTGATGAAGATTTACTACCTACTCAATTGATTTGTCATCTTTACGTAGTACCCTATGCCTAAACTCGGCACTGCTCAAATTTAGGACAATAGTTACTCTTTTTTAGTGAAATAATGGTTGAAGGAAGAGAGTAGCATAAAAACACTTCGGGGTGGTTATGACCAAAGTCTGTAGAACTTCAACTGATTATAATTTTACATCACTTACTGGCTTAATTCAGAGAAACAGTGAAGGCTAGAAAAGCAGTGGACAGTTTCTTCGTCCTTGTATGGGGCTCGCTATAAGCTGCACCCACGACCCCACCAACAAGGATCGAAACCAAAACCTTTAGAGACTTCGATAAGTGCTTAAACACTAGATCAGAGATCTGCCACCGAATGGTCTACAAGTATAGCTTCAGTATATTTGCAATATTGCTAGACAATCATTCATTATCATTGGTGACACATGATATGGTGGAAACTCCACTGGTCACAACTCTTTACTAGAACTCTGGGATTACCCTTCAAACTTAGCCACTAGCAAGCATATGATGACTTATTAGTTAAAGCTACATCTTAAATTCCATGTCTAGCGAGTGGAGGGTCCTTGTAATGGTAAAGGCTTGTGACTACAAAGCTTGAAAAACTAACCTCAACATACAATGGATTAGCTTTATAGCTGGTGAAAAAGTCTTTATATTAACATCTTATTGATCTGTTTCGACAAAAAATCCAATAAACCAAGGAAACGTAGATAATTTTACGAATAGCTGATAAAGTAGTTATTTGTTTATTTATTCGAGAACTAACATATACCACTATTTTTGTCACGAAATTACCCCGTTTCCGTTTGAAATGAGAAAACTAAAAGGTAGACTTGTGACAAAAACACTTTTTAACTATTCACAAGTTTATTTCTGATAATAAACTCGATACTTGTAAATCCATCAGTCAGTCATGCATTGGAAGACTCGATAATTAGGTGGACAAAACTAGATAGCCACGTTATTACATGTCTTTTCTCAACCGAAGTTAATATTCATCATATCATGATTAATTACATGGGACAGGATGTATGTAAAGTGATTTACATTCCTGATCAAAATATTATTATCAACTGTAAGATTTTATATCATGAATATAACTCGTTGAATAGGTACGAATTTATGCACTTGTCTTTTAAGCCTACTGTTTATCCTAGGTTTCAAACTGAAATAAGTGAAACAGAGTTCAAACCTGTGATCTACTGGTTGAATGTTGATTGTTTCAACCACCAAGTCACTACCCAGCTTCATGTTAAATAATACCCTCAAATAATATATCTGTAACATAAAGCACAGACAAATAAATCAAGAGTTCATGAATTTCTAAACGAAAATTACTACTCTAATTACAAATTATCGCGTAAATACGTTACATAACATACCTTTTTGTAAAAAACAACATAATTACAGCACAGATAGTAGAAAATAAGCAGGTAACAGAAGCAGTCAATAAAGATGCACCCAATTGTTGATTAGTGTGTATATTGAAGTGTTTGCCAACAGCTCGATTCAGTGGTTGCATTGTTACCATGTTCACTGTCGATCCAATACGTGACATGCTAAGTTGAAGTCCAAATACTAGATTTAACTCATTCGGTGGAAACCATTCAGTTGAATAAGTATTCTGTGCTACAGCGAGTGATTCACCACCGATTCCAAATATCAATCGGGAAAAATACATTGCAGGAATATTTTTAAAATAAGCTCCTATACCGAATAATATTTGCCCAATAAGTACAAACATTGAAAAAATAATGCTTCCCCATGGGATACCAAATACTCTATCGATAAGAAAACCACCTACAAAACTTAGAATTACATTTGGCCATGAGTAAAATGCGTACAAATTCATAAATTCAACCTTTGTCATATCTAAAGAGTTTATGAAGACATCTTGAAGTGCTGAAGGATTATCATAGCAAAAATAGCTTCCAAAAGAAAGGAAACAAATGAAGAACAATACAATGTAGCGATGAGGACGTCTTCTTGGATCACATGCCCAACTAGCTCCACAGCCTTATGAAACAAATAAAATGGAAATATTATCTACCTGTGAGATTTATATCTCTATTTATGACTTCTTCGTCCTCCATTGATAAAATTTCAATGACCAAAGATGGGATAGAAGCAACGGGTGAAAGTTAGTATTTATGCAGCAGATCAGTCTAAAAAATACCAAGTTATCAATCATAAGCCACTTAAGGATCATATAGCTTATAAATGACAGAAAATAGCCTGCCAAAAGACTGACCTAAATATATTCACAAACATAATAAAGCGCACACCAAGGGAGAACTAAAATAAATCACAATTATATGAAAATGATCAGTCTTTTTTCATAAAACCCATTATCTTTCTTACATATCAGTTTTGGCTATTTGAAGTCTCATACCGCAACTGATAGTTTATTTGGGACCCTGGATTAAACTACTACTCTTCAATATGAAAACTACTGAACGTACATGCTTGATCCACCAACATCAACAGTGCTAGACAAATTCTCTTAGAATCAGCCTTTCTTATACACAAACAGGAAGTTTGGATTCGGTATTATATAGTCTTAGTTAAGAATACTAGGACTAAGGACCTTGCATTAAAACATGTGTTAGGATAACGATTTCTTGATTAAAACGCCATTAAGTTGTAGTTTCAAGTCCCACTTTATATATCTTTATTTGAACAACTGTGTAGCATTACTACCAGGAGAGTCCTACTCAAAGCCTTCTCATGACGTGGGTGTTGTTTACGAAATTGAGAGGATGAAAAGCAAATGTCCACAGCTTAAATCGGGTTGGTGGATACTAAGTATTCCTTAGGGCAGTTGAAAATTCCTCATTCTAAACCAGTGGTGCACATGAGCTCCAGGATTCTGATAGAACTAATGGCGTATGAACAAATTGTTGGTCACCAGCTACCATAGAACTGCATCTCCTAAAGTTGTTCTACTACCTCTATATCAAAGGCTCCGGGTGTAGCCTCCTAAGAAAACCACCTGTTTCGGTTCGGGTGCCCGGGCAGTATCCCAGCCCTCACACAAATCGAATGATTTGTGACTCACATGTATTTGGTGCCTCCTTGTGCCAAAGTTTACGTGTCTGAATCAATAAAATAAAGCTGTGTAAAAGAAGTGTCCCGAATTGAATTGTCTGAGGAGTCGGTGAGATTGTCACAATCAACGTGATATTTAAATTAATTAGTCCATTTTTACAGATTTTGATATTTTAGTGAAATGAATTTGGTTCGAAAAATGTGATGGAACTGATCTATACATTTTAAACAATCTGACCACACATACACTTATCAAGAGTTTTATGGGTGTCTGATTTTCTCTCGAATGGGTCGACTGGAGTTCCAGACAACAATTACTTTGGCAATAGGTTTCAAGAGTTGACTGCTCTGTGAGAAAACATGTATTCTTCTGCCCTTGGCTTTCATAGTCCTGATATGTTCTGATTAGAAAGTGTGATTTATGAACAGGATGAACAAGCGTGTACTCGTATTCCGTTGAATGGTTTCTTTTTGTGTCTGGGCATTCGACTAAAATACATGAACCATGCTAAGACGATTTAAGAGAAAGTCAAAGATTAAGAGTGGTAAAATTAGTGTCGTATAGGTGCATAAGTCAACACCCCCAAAGTAAAAAAAACAAGTAATTTTTAGCAGTCATTAAAATTCTATGCTTTTGTGGGTTAAAATAACATCGCTGAGTTGAAAATATGTGGGTTCTGTGTGTAGGCATCAAGATATTTCGTAGAACACAAGATCAACGCATGAACAAATGCAATAGGTCTCCCAAATCGCCTCGACGTTGGGAAATGTCGAACAAAAACCTATCACAGAACAAAACCCATATAAACTAATAACTTGTGAGTTAACCACCTGTTAAGTCAATCTACACATGACTGTTCACAAAAATAATATCTTGATTATGAAGTGTTTAAATCCTAAGGTATACTCATCTACTATCCAAACTCCCAATTTTGGGGAAAATTTGACCCATTTCGAGAAAGTCGCTATAGTAAATTTTAGGGAGATGACACAAAAACCCCAAAATTTCCGCAAAGTTGGGAGCTTGGGTAGTAGCGATAAACTGAGAGCTCTAAGTTTCTTATCACAATATTGTCAATTATATGGTATCGTTAATCAATGTTTCTGAGTAAATGCTTTAATGGAAGATATATTATCACATATTGTATAAACAACGGGATGCTCTTCAGATATTTTTAAGAATGTAAACCTAAACCTAAATTTCCTTGCGCAAGGTCGTCCAATTTCATTACTTCGATCAAAGTGCCGAGGACCCAACAAGTGAACAAATTTCAGATTCAGACTTCATATTTGTGTAATATGGACAGAAGACCTACAGCCTATGTTATTTCTTTACTAGTATGCTTCTGTGAGTGTCCAGTCTTCTTTTGAAAGAGTCACAGTTATCCGCGCTATTTAAAAAGGACAGTGGTATTTTTCCTCGCTGAGTAAATTTGTTTGTTTTGATCGTTTATTACGTATCAAGACTACTGTTTTCACTTTAATTGAATTTATTTCAGTTAAAGAATTTGACTAAAGTATCGTTTTTACTGTTTTGTCGTTGGTACTCTTGAGTACCTCTTTTTCAACTGTATCTGTTAGTACTTTTGGTCCTAGCAATCTACAGCTCTTCACTTTTGGTCATTGATAACTGTTTTTTTTGTTTCTGAGTATCCTCACAGTTTAAAAAAAGAACCCCTCTTAAATGACCGGACAGTGTAAAAGAAGTAGTTGTCAACGTCCCGGTTGTCGCTATCCTGTTGAAAGCGGGATGCAGTGCGACGAGTGCAAAGGCTGGTACCACGAAGTCTGCACGAACTTAACGCCTGCTGCTTTCAAACGGTGCAGTAAAAAGGGTTGTCTGTGGATTTGTCAACAGTGCTGCTTGGATGCAAACAGCTTGCTAACCGAGGCCATCTCACTGGTTGATGCTGCAAAGAAGTGCTTTAGCAAGCATAGTCGGAACGCGTCAAGCAGCACTCGATCTGTCGACACGCAAATCAACGTGAAGGAAACTAAGGTTAGTCCGATGGTAGATGACTCAAGCCTGTCAAAGAAGGAAAAGCAGTCTCGAAAGAGGCCTGCCCTAGACAAAAGCTCAAGAAAAGTAGGGTCTTCTGTTCCCCGTCTCCCAGATGGGATCCAACAGGAAACACCTAGAAGCCGCAATCGCAAGGCTCGATCGGTTTCAAACAGTAAACATAACACGACCCATCAGGTCGTCGGCAACCCCCCAAAACCCAACACTGAGTTTGACGCAACTGTTATTGCTTCTACCAGCACCGTTGAGGAATGGGTAAAGGTTGCGAGGAAGAGAAGTAGGGATATAAAAGGGAAACCTGCTCCCGTAAAAGTGGTTGAAAAATCGAAAGCTGATCATAGCGACAGATCAGCTATTTTCCATAGAATCAAGGAGAGCGATAGCTCTGAACCTAAAGCTCGTTTTGAGCATGACATTGTACTGATTAGGCAGCTGCTTAATCAACTCATGCCTCAAAATATGACCGGGGTCACCTTGCTAAAGGTGTACAGACTAGGGAGTCTAACGGACTCGAAACCAAATCATTCCAGACTGCTTAAAGTAGTATTCGGCTCTTCGAACGAACGTGACCAAATTTTACAAAATGGGCACAAATTAAAGGGCTCAGGAGTCTTTATTCGAAAGGACCTACCGTTGGCAGACCGTGTTAAAAGACGGGAAGCCGAGAAAGAACTACAACATAGGTTAGACGCTGGCGAAAAAGACCTGAAAATTGTAAATTTTCGGGTTGTAAGACTTCGACAGAGAATGATGCCGAAGCCACTCTGGGTGAAACACGAAGGCACTTAAACAGGCTTCGGATCTGTTACACCAATGCACGAAGCTTACTTAATAAGCGATCGGAACTAGGTGTACAGATTGACTCTACAAAGCCAGACATAATCGCAGTAACAGAAACCTGGCTGACACAGGCTATAGATAGTATAGAACTTGATTTCGAGGGCTTTACGTTAGTAAGGGCCGACAGAACACAAAAGCGCAAAGGAGGGGGAGTAGCTCTATTCATTAGGAATGCTATCCCATTTACCATTGTCGACAGTGTATCTCATGAGAGTGGGACGTGTGAATTAGTTAGTCTTCGCCTAAAATGCAAGGGACAAGAGCTGCTGATTGGTTTGGTCTATCGCAGTCCAAGCTGTGAGGCAAATGAGATCCTATTAAGCAGTCTCAATACTTGGTCCCAAAGTGGTCGATGTCTAATCCTAGGGGACTTTAACGCACCTATGGTAGACTGGGAAAATCTGCGAATTAAATCGTCGGAGAATTCTTTCGAGCAGGAACTAGTTGATGGGATTATCACATGTGCTCTAATACAACATGTGAAAGAAGCGACAAGGTTCGATCCGGACACTGAATCATCCTTATTAGATCTTATACTGACTCACTATGAGGATGATGTTGCGAACCTCCAACATATGCCACCCTTAGGTAAAAGTGACCACGCAGTTTTAACTTTCGACTTCCATATAACTGTCAGTCATGAGGACGCATCAGTCCAGTCCAGACCCAACGTCTGGAAAGCAAACATACCAGCCATCATGCACTCAGCATCGTTAATAGATTGGACAATAGACCCAGAGTCCTCCATTGAAACGGCCTGGGACGCATTTCGAAATTCATACTTAAAAGTTACCACACCTCACATCCCTTGGACTATACCAAAGGGACCGAAAAACTCTCCACCATGGTTCAGTAGGGAGGTCCGTATTCTTCTCCGTAAGAAAAGGAAGATGTGGGATAGATTTAGGTTACTGGGGACTGATGAGGCAAAATCTCAGTATCGAAAGGCTCGGAACACTTGTGCCTCGACCCTCCGTAAGTCTAGAAAATTGTACGAAGAAAAACTTGTAAAGGAATCCATAGAATGTCCTAAACGCTTGTATTCCTATATAAACCAAAGGACAAGGAGAAAAGGAAATATTCCGGCTCTATGGGGAGACAGTACTGC